CTTCTCTCACCGCTTAAGTGCTGAGTCCTTGCTGCCAGGCCCTCCTGCTGCACCTACTAGGCAGCACTCCCTGCCCTGACTTGGAAATAGAACCCAGGAAGCCTTACTCCCACCCCCTTCTGCTCTAACCACTGAACGACCCTCTCCTCCTGGAGTAGGGCACAGAACCCAGATCTGGCTCCTAGCCTGCCTCATCCTTTGCTCTAACCACTAGCCCCCACTCCACAGAGTTTCCTGTAAGCTGAGCGCTTGGGCGGCCGCCCAGGAGAGATTCAAGTGCCGCCCAGCTGATTAGCAGAGCACCCCCAGTTGGCAGTGTGTCTCTACCAGTGGTGCACATCCACACAAGCCTCAGTGCATGGAATACAATTTATGCTGCACGCTCATGGAAAAATCGAGGGAACATTGCGCCAGTCCCAGGGCTGGGCACAGAATCTGACTTTCAGCCACCCCCGCTGCTCTAACTACTAGATTTCACTTCCCTCCCTGAGCTGGCAAGCGACCGCCCCCAGCTCTGGGCTATGCCAAGGGAGGGCTGGTCAGGCATGTGGTACTGGCCTTATTACCCACTGCTAAATGTCATGTGTTGCCCTCCCAGGGTCACTTTGCCATGCAGGGGGGAACCAGGGGTTGTTCCCCTCAGGGCTGGGGCGCAGTGCAGGGGGGAACGCACCCCACACTCCCCCACTCAGCCACCATGTCTGGTCCCCCCATGGCTGCTGGCAGTCTGACGGCTCGAGACCCTCCTTTCATCCCCCTGGAGGCGGGGGGGGGGGCACGCCTTCTCCAGGGGGCACCTGGGTTGGGGAGACCCCCCCACTACGCATTGTAGCTCCAGGTGGGGGTAGGGGAGCCAGCCCCTTGCAGCCATCACCCATGCAGGGACAGCGCCTCCTCCAGTCGGCTCCGGTCTTTTCCGGCCACTGGCGCGGGAGGTGAGTTCAGCGCAGCCAGGCGCCTGTGTGCTGGGAAAGCCCCTAATGTGGGATTCTGCCCCGGGGAGCAGCCCCCACAGTTATAGCTGTTGCAGTTACCATGTGGCTGCATTTCAGTGCTGGATGAGCGATGCCTGGATAAACAGCTGCCATGTCCCACCCCAGAGGTGGCTGCATTTCAGTACTGGGTGAGCCATGCCTGGATAAACAGCTGCCATGTCCCACCCCAGAGGTGGCTGCATTTCAGTACTGGGTGAGCCATGCCTGGATAAACAGCTGCCATGTCCCACCCCAGAGGTGGCTGCATTTCAGTACTGGGTGAGCCATGCCTGGATAAACAGCTGCCATGTCCCACCCCAGAGGTGGCTGCATTTCAGTACTGGGTGAGCCATGCCTGGATAAACAGCTGCCATGTCCCACCCCAGAGGTGGCTGCATTTCAGTACTGGGTGAGCCATGCCTGGATAAACAGCTGCCATGACCCAACCCAGAGGTGGCTGCATTTCCATGTGGGGTGAGCCAAGCCTGGATAAACAGCTGACACGCAGCACCCCAGAGGTGGCTGCATTTCAGTACTGGGTGAGCCATGCCTGGATAAACAGCTGCCATGTCCCACCCCAGAGGTGGCTGCATTTCTGTGTTGGGTGAGCAATTTGATTCCCTTGCCAGTCTGTCACATGGTTGGGGATCTCTGATTATGCTTTAGCAATAGAAGAGATAACAAGGGAAGTATGCAGGATGCTCTGCTATGGCTACCTTGCCTAATGGTTAGAGCAGACATGGTGGAGCCTGGGAGTCAGAACTCCTGAATTCTATTCCCATCCCTAGAAGGGGAGTGTGGTCCACTGGGGAGCGCAGCAGTTTGGGTTCTGCTCCTGGCTCTAAGAGGGCCGGTGGTTCAGGGCCTTGAAGAGGATATGTACTCGCTAGTAATTATTTGACTGAGATCAGGGCACCGTTGTATGGTGCTGTGCAGAGCCCAGCTCAGACTGTGCCAGGTGCTGCACAGACAGTCTCTGCTTACTGTCCAAAGAGTGGGAGGGGAAACTGAGGCTCAGAGTGGGGAAGGGACTTGCCCCAGGTCACACAATGAGACTCCTGGATTCTGCCCCTGGTTCGGGGAAGGGAATGGATTCCTGGGCTCTTCCACTCCTGGGTCTGCCATTGACTCACTGTGTGACCTGCCCCACACCGTGCCTCAGTTTCTCTGTCAGTGAAAGAGGGCTACCAATCCCCTTTGGCCCATGCACGGAGAGCGCCAAGGCGCCTGGCTGGGGCCTACTTTAAACCGCACATCAGGTTTTCACTGAGGGCTCCCCAGGGGCCTGCGTGTCTGAGTCAAATCGCAGGCTCTTTTAATGCCTCCCCAGCGAACACTGCAGACCCCGAGCCAACCCCAGGCAAGGAGAAGGCAGCCTTTGATATGGCAGGCAGGGCGGATGGAGAGGACCTTGCCGCAGGCTGTGGGGGGGCGGGGGAGGCTCTGAGGCTAGGCATCAGATTGGGGCAGCTGAATTAGCCCCCCCTCAATCTGGGGGAAATTTTAGACACCCCCCACAACCTCGTCCCACTGCGGTATCAGCCAGCCTTGCTCATGGAGCGGCATCTCTGCTCCCGCCCTCCCTCTTTCTCTCTCTCTCTCTTTCTTTCTTTCTTTCTTTCTCCCTCCTTCCACAGTCTCCCCCTGCTCCTTCCACACATGCACCACCGTCCCCACCCGGAAACATAAACCCCACTCCCGTATCCCACCCCCTTGCACTCAGCTCTTAGTGCCCCCTCGCCCATCATCCGCACGGCCCAGCGCCCTGCCAGAAGCCTCCTCCTAGGTTCGGCTGTTTGCGGTAGTCAGTCCCTGCGCTACCCCCCGCAGTGGTGCTGGGATCATGCTGCCCGTTGGGGAGGTAGTGTGGGCTAGTGGCTAACACAAGCCTGGGAGTCCAGGCGCACTTGGGTACCACTTCCTCTGCTACTGATTTCCTGTGTGCCCCTTGTCAAGTCCCTGCACCTTGTCTCCTCTGAGCATGAAAGGGCGAGCAAGGGGCTGCCCCTAGGCTCCCGGCTGTCTAGGCTTTTCTGTAGCTCCCAACCCTGTGGCGTCTGGGCGCCTCCCATGAATAACTGTGGCCATAGGGATCACTCTGCCCTTCCCTGTGGGCAAGAAGCCAGCATTCCTTAAGTGCTTTGAGATCCTTGGGTACAAGTCCCAGCCATTGCTGTTGGTTCAGGGTGCTTGGACTTTCCCAGCGATAAACATTAATTAATCCTTGTCCCCCACCCCCAGTGCAAGGTATTAGCCTTCCCTATCGCTGAGTAAACTGAGGCATGCTGCATGAATATGGCATGGACCTGTTTTCCCACCCCCTACATCAGTGGCAGAACCCAGGAATCCCAGCTCACAGTTACCTGCGGTCACCACTAGACCACACTCCCTTCCCAGAGCTGGGGATAGAACCCAGGCACCCAGCATCCCTGCTCTAACCATTAGACCCCCCCCCTACGATTTTGTAGAACATGGGCGTGCCTAGAAGCCCTGGTTGTAGCCGACGGCCCCCTTGTGCCAGGCGCTGTACGTTTGTGTTGCTAGTACGGTAGTGGCTAAGCACACTAGTCATGGACTGAGACCGGACTGTGCTAGGCACAAATGTTCCCTCTCATTTGGCCACCCGTGTGTAGAATAAATTTTGTTGTGTGCACCGAGCCATTTGCAGGTGTGCACCACCAGGAGACACACCTGCTGCCCGCTGTGGGCACTCTGCTAATCAGCTGGGCGGCACCTGTAGCTCTCCTGGGCGGCTGCCCCCCAGTGCTCAGCTAGCAGGGGACAGGGCTAGGGGCATGGCTATCGGGTATATTACGCTAGGAGGCCATGTCGTGGACCCGGCTCTTCCCTGTGCTAGGTGCTGTACATTTGAGGGCTATTAGGTGTATTGTGGTAGCACTTAGGAGTCTCGGGTACAGACTGTTGCTCCAGCCTCCCCTCCCTTGCAGCCCGTTCTATCCTACTAGCCTGTATGGCTCCGGGC